AAATCACAACATATTTTTTGTTAATAGGAATGATGCTACTGGTTGGCAACACCGAAAAGTCGGAATTTTTAATTTTTTACTTTGGGGGATACGTCCACTAGTAGATGAAACATATTTGTTTTTATCTGGCGGCCCCGGGGCCGTTATGCCTTATGATTGTCTATTACTTAGTATATTATGAAATAACCACTCACTTGAAAAGATTTGGGAACTGCTGAGGATAATGACAATTGTTTTCAATATTTTATTTTTCTTTTATGGTTTTCGTTTTTTGTTTTAATTTGTTTTTATTATATTTACACAAAAACAAAGGCAAATATGGTATCTGCGATAATCAGTTCTTGCAAAAACACAGAAAGCACATGTGTTAAACAAACAAAAACACCGAAAACAATTAAAAAGACAAAAACAAAACACGCACTACCCAGAACACAAGTCGATGTCAAATGAATTGCGTTCATAAGCCAAATCTTTATCGCGATATGCGGAAACAGAAAACTTTAAAATATTTGAGTAAATGAAAATGAATATAACTGAATTATTCTTAATTGTAAACAAATGCAGACTAACCTTTACAATTATTCTCAATTATAAACAGATACAGACAGACTTTTACGCTTCAAAATTTATTCTCAGTTGTAAACAAATACAGACGCTTACTCTCAGTAAATTAAATGAGCAAGATGAAGAATTGCAAAATATATGAGCAAGATGAAATATATGAGTAAGAGGAATAATTTTGATTTATATAAGCAAGGGGCAGAATTGTAAATTAAATGAGCAAGAGGAAGAATTGTAAATTATATGAGCAAGAGGAAGAATGTATGGATGGATCGCAGCCGCACCACATATATATATATATATATATATCGATAACTATAATAGTGAATGCCGACTGTCCGTAAAGTCTGCAAATCATTCACAAACAAGAACTTCTGTAATATAAACCAGAAGAGATAATAATCTAACATTTTTAAAATAAAATACATAAACAGTGTATTGACCCTTTATTGTTAACGCGAATCCTGTATCTGAAATAACCACAACAGTGATGAGCAATTTTTTACCATCCAAAAAAATAAATCTAGTAAATCTATTTATTGATTTGTAAACAATTAAATCTGTTTGTCATTCGAATTCGCTATACCACCCATTGATTTGTAAACAATTGCATCTGTCTTTCATTCGAATTCGCTATACTACCCATTGATTTGTAAACAATTGCATCTGTTTTTCATTCGGATTTCTATACCACCCATTGATTGTTAAAGGTGCGTAAACGGACGCAATCCATTCGGAGTAGTTTGTCCGATTTCTTTTACTTTTACTTGTGTAGATTGATATTGAGACTAATAATTAAAGCGCACGCCGACAATAAAGCATAAACTGAGCAATTCCTCTAAGCAAAAACTTAAGGGTTCGAGAATTCATAAGATTTCATAAGGTTGGTGTGTCGAAAAGCAGATGATCCGTTTGTGTTTATATACATAAACAAGGCCATAATTTTCTACTTATAAATTTTTTTTTATTCGATTTTAATAACAAAGTACACATATAAGAATACTCATAGAATTAACCATATAACATTTATATGTATACATACAAAGGTATGTATTAAATATTTTTTTAAATATTTTTACATTTATATCGTAACGAAAAAGAAAGGGTAAAATATATTTACTTGATAATAAATGAGATTGAAGCTCCATTCATTTGATATATTATACAAATTTTTCATTGACTCTTTACCAATTTCTCCTGCCCCTCATTGATTTTTTATCAATTTTTCATTACCCTCATTGATTTTCTACCAATTTCTCATTTTTTTCATGCAAATTAGATTGAAGCCCCATTCATTTGATATAGTATACAAATTTTTAATTGATTTTTTATCCTTAAAACGTTCCCTTATTAATTGAATATTAATTTTATTGTTATTATTTGTAACTAAAAGTTACCCAATCCTTTGACACAACGTTTAGAGGAGTATTTTCAACATGCTTGGACCTATACGAACGGCATAAATATGAATCCGGTATTGAAAGATTTTCCCGAATGCCTTCAAGCAGACGTGTATTTACGCCTCAATCGTAAACTATTAACAACATGTCCGACATTTTCAGAAGCTAGTCCAGGATGCAAAAACTTTTGCGGTTCAGTATTCCACAAATTTAAAGACCCAAAAAACAATCAAAGTACTAAAATTAAAGAAACAAAAAGTTATGTAAGAACTTCCAATGCTTCTGCCAAATTTGACGCTGGTAGCTCAGTTATTGCGACCGAGGGACATTACACAGCCAGACAGATAGACGGACATACTTAAATTCGTTTACGAGTTCAAAACACTTTACGAGGTCTGTGAAGCTCCTTCGAGGGTATTGCAGACGTTTTTGGTAAAATGACAAAGCAACCCCCCATCCTTTGATGGTACAGCAAAATAAATGTGAAGAATTAAGCTTATAAAAATTGAGCTTAAGAAAGAAACTTTACTGGCGGAGTTAAATAAAGAAAAAGAATTGTTTGAACATATTCATAAAAAGACGTCCGTTGAACGAGTACATCCATAGAAGTGTGAAAAATTTTAAGAAATTGTGAGGATGAACCCGCAAGATTTTATCGAAAAGATGCTTCAAAACGTTCCGACCGGCCTTTCATTGCATCTAATTATTCTAGCTTTTTCGCATATCTGTGTAAGTCAATATCTCAGTGTCAGTGATGCGGGCAACTGTGCGTGTATGGGTTGTAATTTCTTCGATATTTAGCTTGCACAGACGCCATCTGTGATAAGATTATTTAGGAAACATGCGGCGTACTATGGAAAAACTCAACAGTACATCTGGCCGAAAGATGGTAATTGAAGATCTTTAAAGTATTTTAGTATGATCGTCAGATCCTAGATTTTCCACAAGACATTTATATATTGCGGGACCGAATTTGAAGGAATAAGATGAAGCGCTGTCGCATGAATTATAGGACACTCACGCCATGGTGATTTCACAACAGCTTGTATATTCATAGTAAAATGGTACGAATTTATTTTTATTAATCTTTAATTTTCGCTGAAAAACGATATTTACGAGAGGTTAAAAAATATTAACGCTATCGCGTAGAACTTGTTGCAATACCAGCTGTGTAGCCTCCTTTTACTGTAACATACTGCACTTCATATATAAATAAAAAATATATGAAATCAGAATGAGAGACGATTTCGATTTGTTCAAGAACGACTGATGTATTACGTCCGCTTTACAGCACCGGAAAGGACGTCGATTAAAGAAATAATATTGAACCGTCTCTCAAAACCATCATGAGCGGAAATTCTACTGTCCAATGACACATTATTCCCCTCCGGGGTTGATAACAGCTATTGACCCAGATTGTTACTCGATCATAACGGCAATGATATAATATACCAATACCCACAAAAGCGTCGTTGCTTGTAGGCTCTGAGAGGGTTACTGAAATAACGCGATTCTATTCCCGGGTCTGACAGAGAAATAATTATATAAGTTTGTAACATTTATTTATTATAAATAAAATGCATACAAGTAGTAACCTAATTTCAAATTAAGTCAAAACGTTTATTTTATATATGTATATATGTACATACATATATTTTCTGTATATATTATCTGTATATACAAATATATATACTTTTATATTATATTATTATATATATTATTATTATATATAGATTTATGTATTTATTTTGCAAATGTGTTATATATATATATACATTTAATAATATAATATAATAATGTGAAGCTATAAAATTCGTAAGACTGATAAATTAATTTTTCCCCTCGCAAATTTTCGACCCTTATATTGAGCGATGTGGACGGGGTATTAAATCCTTGTACTCAACGGCTTGCAAGCCGTCAAGCTGAAATCGGCCTGTGGTAAATATGTTTCTGTTCGCAAAATTTACACATTGGGTCCGAATTCCTAAAAATACTGGATGTTCTTGTAGGCAACTCGGTATTGCTCAAAAGAAATCGGGTTACATTGCTCAAAAGACAGGTTGTTATGCAATATAAAACGAGGACACCTTTGTTTTTATAAGCGATGAAATTCAATTTTAAAATACAGGTGCCGGGTATAACGCGTGCACAGCCAAAAATAATTCGCTTACTTGTTCATTTCACTATATTCAACGGAATTTTTTGCCTGAAAGATCGACATAATGCTAGATCATTTAGGCAGCAAAAATCGTTAAGTGAATTCGACAATTTGTTAAATGGACAGCGATTCCTGTAGTAAAGGCAGATGTAGTAAAGGTAGTAAAGGCAGATGGCATAATTTGTTGTTCTAAAACGACAAAAAGAATATATGCGTTTTTCACTTATGGCAATGAAAGAATATGAAAGCTAAAAATAAGTTAATTTTGAATATATATATGGTAATGGATAGATAACTTGTGGAGTTTTTGTATAGATATATCGTACATATGCAATATATAAAATATTTATGTAAATGATATCGACAGTATAATTTTATTTAAAAGGAAAAACTGTTGATCCTCATAAAGGTCGTAATCGTACCTGTGTACTATTTTTTAAACAGTAAAGGAAAAACAGTATATTTTCGTTTAAAGCACATTTCTTAGTAGTTATTGGTAACTTCAGTGAAAATCAGTTCAAATTATAGTGTTTGTCATACTACTTAAAACATAAACATAATCATTTTCATGATAAAAAAAGGGGCAAACCATTGCCAACTATTTACAGCCGTGTCGAACGCTGATACTAAAGCAAAGACTATCTACTGACATTGATTTAAATTGATATGTTCACATAGCTCCATTTTGTTACTTGCATATATATATTTCAACGTTTCCTATCGACGAGCTTTGAAAAGTAAAGAGTAAGCTTTTTGTTCTGGCAATTTAATGAACGGGCCTAAAATCCACCTCGATTCACAGTCATCTGAGAGTAATGAAACAATAAAATAAGTGAATGGTGAGAGACGATGGGCAAATTTTTGTACATATCGCATAAGGATTTTCTTTTAGAGTTACATATATGAACTCTATTTCATTCTACGTTGCCACTAGTAGGGAAATGAAGCATTTTACTTTGTTGTTCGGTTATCGAAAACACTGGTAGTTTGTTTGTAGAAAACTTTGGTAGTTTGTTTGATGTTGGGTTTTGTTTTCTAAAATTAGAAAACATTCCCTGAATTGAAATTTTGTTGACGGCAGATATTTAGCGAATGAAGTTTAAAAACACACACTTATTTCCGACATTGATTTGTGAAAAAAATTTTAAAATAAACTTTCGAATTATAACTTTAAAAACAAAATCTGAGAGTAAAATGGTTATCACAGTAAACAGTTTGCGGGGCCAACTAATGTCGTTGGTGAATTTTTCTGGAACCCACAAAGAACAAGCTGATAGATATAGGCAACTTTTGGAGGTTGTGTTGACAAATTCAGGTGGCGAACTCGTGGACACGTTAAAGCTATTTGTGGAGGCGATAGTCAATGAACATGTCAGCCTAGTGATATCTCGCCAAATATTAAATGATGTGGGTATACAATTAGCTAGGCTGCCGGATGAAGTATCTAAGCAAGTATCACATTTTACACTGGAAAAGGTTCAGCCACGTGTTATATCATTTGAAGAGCAAGTAGCAGGCATACGCCAACATTTAGCAGAGATTTACGAACGAAATCAACAATGGCGAGAAGCAGCAAGTGTGTTAGTGGGCATACCCTTGGAGACAGGTCAAAAGCAATATACCGTATCATACAAATTGGAGACTTATTTGAAAATTGCTCGCCTTTATCTAGAAGATAATGATCCCGTGCAAGCGGAATTTTTTATAAATCGAGCTTCTTTGTTACAAGCTGAAACCAATAGTGAAGAGCTGCAGGTAAATAATTACTACGTTTTTTACGCATCCGTGTGGTAATGGCAGTCTTTATAGATTTTGTATAAAGTATGCTATGCGCGTGTTTTGGACTATAGACGTAAATTTATAGAGGCCGCTCAACGTTATAATGAATTATCGTACCGTTCAATAGTGGATGAAGGTGAACGCATGACTGCTTTGAAAAAAGCATTAATTTGCACTGTTCTGGCTTCAGCGGGACAACAACGATCACGAATGTTAGCTACTCTGTTCAAAGATGAACGTTGCCAGCAGTTACCGGCTTATTCAATACTTGAAAAAATGTACCTTGACCGTATTATACGACGTTCGGAACTGCAAGAATTCGAAGCTTTACTGCAACCTCACCAAAAAGCGACAACTGTGGATGGCTCTACTATATTGGATCGCGCTGTGTTTGAACATAACTTACTGTCAGCCAGTAAATTATATAATAATATAGCCTTTGAGGAGCTGGGTGCTCTTTTGGAAATTCCAGCGGCAAAAGCAGAAAACATTGCTTCGCAAATGATAACTGAAGGCCGAATGAATGGGCATATTCACCAGATAAGTGGTATTGTTCACTTTGAAAGTCGTGAGGTTTTGCCGTTGTGGGATCGTCAAATACAATCGTTATGTTATCAAGTTAACTCAATAATTGAGAAGATAGCTGCTGCTGAACCAGAATGGATGGCCAAAACTCTGGAAGAATTGAACTAATTATCCAGCCTTATCTTATATTTCGAAGTTTTCAAACATTGATTGACATAAAACAAAAAAGGCAAACTAATTACAGTTAGTCCTTCAATATATACTTTTGAATTGACTGGAAGCGTTAATTAAAGCTGCTAATATCTATACACAATGATCCTCAGCCCCCGTAGACATTGTATTTACTTTCTTTGTTTCCAGACTCTCCACGAAATTGAAACTTAAAATTGCATCGCCATGGGCCAACCTAATTAGTTCCGAATTTCTTTAACAGAATGGGAAACTAAAATGTATGAGTTTTCTGTCATGCCCGCAACAAACAGCGTAAAATGTTCGGGTGGAAAGCCCATTTGCAAAAAATTTCCTAGGGTAGCACACGTACGAACCGTTACCCGATGGCGCCCTAAAGACTTCATTTGGCATTTCACTTTGAGTCCGTATTCGGTGATGGGTGTCACCGAATCAAAGTAAAATTCGATTGCCGAGCACTTCGTGAATTGCTTCTACATAAATCTCTTTTCCATTTTCGCTGTCGGCCCAGGGGTCTTCGGCTTTAACCCTGTCTCCAATTACTAATGAAGGACGACTTTCAGCAAGATTTTCTATGTGCAGAGCTAAATATTTTCCCTCACGTGTGAAATGGGCTCGCTCACGGTTATTGCCAAGCCACTCCATTTCTTCTAAATGTAAGAGTGTTCCAAAGCGAATTGTGTAGTTTTTTATATTTAATTCTTCTGTAAGGCTGGGGAACATATTCTCCAACATGTCCTTTTGGCAACCCTCAGTAGTAAACGCCTGTTTTAATGGTTCTGGTACTTCGAATTTTCCGATGGGTAAATGCAAATTATTAAGCATAGAACGCTGACATTTTTCATATTTACGAAAATGGAAATAATCAGCCATGTACATACAAAGTTTCAGCTAATTAAGTTTTCGTTACTTCACTTTTTTCAAGTTTTATGCTTATTAACCACAAGGTAAATAAGGCAGAGCGTTTACTTGAACATTCCTCAAATGATGATATATTTATTATCTGCTTAAAAATGCGTTAATTCTAAAATAATTATGGTGGACACGACTTGGTGGATTAGTGTTTCCTTAAAATGCGATATGGGTATCAAATAAGAGGACTCGGAGGGTAGTAGGCAACAAGGTCAGTGCGATAACACTAATTTAAGTCATCTAGGCGTTAGCATATAAGGCTTTCGTCTTTATTAAAAACTCTGCTGCATTTGAGATTTGAACCACCGACCATTGAGTTACTTGTCGAGACTCTTGCCTACTCGCCCACTCAGGCAGATTTCAGTAAAGTATGTTTCTGACTTTCCCAGCGTCCAATTGTTAGCACTAGGTAATGAATGAAGATAGAAAGTAATAAACTATTTCATAAGAATATAAAGATTTTGAAGCGTTTAATTGCATTTTGGAATTTTTAATTAATTTGGCACAATTAGATTTATTTAAAGCAATCTAATGTCAATAGAAACCAGTTGATAATGCAAATGTTCTAGCAATAATTCTTCTCAAATTCTTATTTAACAGAATTGTAGCGAAAATTTTTCATTTAAAACAAGTTCAGCTAAAATTTCTCATATAACAGAATCGCATCGAGAATTTTCACCACTTTAACGGAATCGCGTGGAAAATTTTCACCACTTTCACAGATTCGAAGATGTGTCGTCTGATTTAGCAGAACTGTATCGAAAATATTGACTATTTAAACAGAATTGCATCGATTTCTTCTCATTTAACATAATCGCATAGAAAATTTTCAGCACTTTGACAGATTCGCAGCGTTGCAATTTATTGAAATAACTCCGCGCTCTCTCCATTCTCAACATATGGTACTTTTTTTCTAAACGATGTAAAGGAAAAAACCAGCTAACGGCTTTTAGCGAAAAATCAAAGCCATTTTACGAGTGCAGAAGGAAGTTGTTCGCAGTGAATAATTTCGAAAAAAAAATGTAAAAAAGTTAAAAAATAGCGAAAGAAAATATAAAAGAAAGAAGTTTTACGAAAATTGTGTTATTTGTGTACCATCTTGTTAAAACATTGCAGATTAGAGTATTTTTTTACGATTTTCGAAAAATATTTGTCGAATCCTTTAAACAGCAAATGCGAAAAATATTACTTTATTTCTTCACACAGAAAATCGTTAATAAAAGCGATAGAAAAAAATTTTTTCCCATTTCCAGTTAACATATATTGCAAGGATTTTTTTCCTACTTTTTCTTCTTGCTCTTCGTCTTCGTCTTCTCTGAAAATGGAAAATTGACACATATATAGGATTTATATGCAAATTTGTGCAAATGAAATCCTCTTCTATTCGCAGCATATACAAGGATATTGAGGACTTTAATCTCATCTTTCTATGAATCCATATGTGAATGTATATGTTTTTATATTGTATAAAAACCCAATTGTAAACTGTTGCATTTATCTTCTACTAGTAGTTAAAGAGTAAAATGTCGTCTCTTTTCCATTTATACTCACTTTTTTTTTCAAATCTATTTGCGTCGATGTGTCAGTGTTTTTTTCTTATTTATTTATTTATTTATTTTTTATTCTAAATTTCTTTAACAAATACTTACCAAGTTTCTTCAATCTTATTCAGGAAAACATATATATATACATATATATATATACGTATATATATATATGTATATTTATATATGTATATTTACATGGATAGGTGCTTGTGTGTGCATATTTTCCTTTTATTGCTCATACGTAGGAAGTGCTATTATATCCTACGCCACTTGTATTGCAAACATATATTAGGTTTATAAAAAGGTCTGTGCAATGCCTGTCGAGAGCAAAACCTTCATCAGATCCAACTTGCAAGTAATGGTTTAGATTAAAATGTAAATTTCTAAATAGAAGAAAAGCCCTGGTCCGATTTAAACAAGGAATAACACGCATTACTTAGACAGCAACCTTATTGCACCCCTAAAAATAAAGGAAAAGCGGAATTCTTATACGCGGAGAAATTAACTGTTGATACTATAAAGAAGCAAAAAATGATATTAGACCATCTCAAAATGATACACAAAAATTATTAAGTAGTAAATTATGCGACCTGATTTACCTGATGGATATTCCCCTATTAATGAAGGCTTCTCAAAGTCGCAAAAGTTCAAATGGAATGGTGTTCGTGCAAATATAATCGTGATTTTCCAAATTCATCTTAAATACATTAAAATTTAACCTCGTTGCTTTATCAAAACGATTGCTCAATCGGTCAAGAAACTGGTTTTGAAAACAAAAATTCCCATTATATACAATTTGAAATTTAAAAATTATTTTTTTAAATATCTTATAAACTATATACATATTTATATAATTGAAGTTCATAATATCAAAATTCCCAAATATACTCCCTTCATTAAACTGGCAAAGCGCTCGATCCTGTAGTAACACTACTTTTAACTAAGGAACCGAACATCTTCACCCCAGAAGCACCACCGGGAATTATGCCTACTACCATAAATGCTAAAGCAATCATTTGGGCTAAAGCAAATAGTACAGTCAAGGCAGCACAGTACTTTGCATCCATAGAGCACAGTATAAAGTTGTTATCAGGGTACCGAAATAAGTAATTGACACCAAAAATCTATCACGATTACACAATGTCTTGAGGAAAGCTACGAATCCTGATAGAAAACAGAAGCTAAATATGAAAAAAAAACTCCCCAAGGTGTAAAGCAAAGCAAATTTTCGCGTTTTCAGCAATAACACAGGCACATAAAACAGTGATATAGTCATGCAAAAAGTTCCCAGACCAAGGCAAGCAACGAAGCCGTATAAAATTCTCGATAATTTTGCATGTATTGTACCACTTTAAGGAATAAGCGCATATTCGTTCTCAATAATTCAACAGGTCTTTGTAAAAAGCCATCGATGCGAGAATAAGCGTATATATTCTCAATAATTTGTATAGAAATTCCAATTCATACATCTGAAGCAAAAATAGTTACAGTGAAAAGTAACTTTAAATAAAACTTCCGGTCTTTTTGGATTTGAAGATATGTATTCCTCTTTAGGAGCGTATGTACCTGCAAAGTGAATAAGTGAATAGTTTATGTCGGTATAGTTATAAAGAAAGTTTTGCAGAAAATTATGAAAGATTTAGAAAAGCGGTTTTGTAATATTTTAAGATTGTAGTGTCCACCAAGTATTTGATCGATGTACCAATACGTTGAAAATATGAGAATGGCCAACGAGGCCTGACCGTTCTCCGGGCAATTCCAACAAATCAATGCTTTAATTTCATCATATCATCTATCACCGTTTTAAGTTGTCCATTTTTTCTCCATTTTTTTTTTTGGTCAAAGTATAAAGCAATGGCTCATTAACACTACCAGTTTTTGTATTTGTAGCAACTGAAGCCAAGTTATCAGTTTTAGTTGTATTCTTATGAGGGCTACGTACTGAACTCGATTTGGAATATGCTCTTTTCGAACTATCAGGAGGCACGTCAAGAGGATTGTACGACTTTAATACTTGAGTTTGCAGGATTCACCATAAATAGGGTGTCAATGACTCTCGCTAACGCATATTTTAGTACTTCCTTGTGAAAGACGTTATGTGGAAAATAGCATTTCCAGGGCCCAATATTTCTATAAGCACAAGGCGAATAACTCAGTTAGGACTAGCGCCATTTTTCAAAAATGCTAGTACAATATCTATACTCGTAGCGATTTGAAATATTACCAACATGTTTTTGCCAAAGTTAATAATAAAAGAACTTTAGAACCTCTGTACGCAGAGTCCTATAGACTGGGTCATCGTAAAGACAACAATATTAAAGTTGAGAAGAACGGAAAATGATACCTGTAAGAAGGGCCACACTTGCAGCTGCAAACCATTACTCATACGCACAACTTCTCTCACTTTACCTATTCCTTTCTGCCCATCACCACGTTTTTAGACGTACAGAGATATTCGAGGGACGAGACATATTAAAAAAAAACAAACACACGAGTCAGATGGTGAGAGCATTGCGAAAACTGAACTGTACTTGATGGGTGTTTGCAAATGTTTCCGTTGAAAACGCATTGAAATGTTAGGGAAATGTTAGGGTGTTTGCATCAGTCCAAAAACGGTCTATGTTACCGAATAAAGTGACGTATTGCAAAAAAAAAAAATTTACTTCTTATGAATTGATGAACGTAGTTGTTGAAACGCGCTCTTTAAAGTACTGCAAAGTTTTCATTCTTTAACTTTACTGCTGCTGTTGATGCTGTTGCTTTTGTTGCCTTTGGAGCTTGTTTCTTAAAAGTTTTTAATTAAATTTTCCTGGTTTAATTTAATAGTTTCCTTTGTACCTATGCATTTGTGGCGTTATAAAATCACGGGAGCATGTTTTTGCAATTTTAATAGCATTATATTTGAGAGGAGGAAATTTATGCCCACACATTCCAATCGTCATTTTCATTTAGTTGCTTATAGCCCACTACCATAAACAACTTGAACTGAAACTATAACAACAGTTTGAGGTTTCGTAAAATGATTTCATCAATATAAGATATATTACCTTAATTTATTTTAAGAAATTTTATTATTGTTTTAACTGTTTATCAACGATGACGTGATATTTCGCATAAACGAACTTATCAACGTCTACATCTTAACGAAGTAACCACGAGATCACAGTAAGGAATAATTCTGTTCATTGTATCAAAAGTACTGACTATACCGCACGCCCTACTTAAGTTGGTGCGGGGGTATCTAACATCCAGAAGGGCTTAAGATAGATTTATTATATTAATCATTCAGATCTAACCTTCTCTGTCCGTCTATCTAGCTGTTTGTCTGTGCGCCTGATGTCTGTTCATGTATTTTGTATTCTACCTATAGGTTGCCATGTTCTGAGATACTGATTGACATATTTTGACGCAACGACGAATCCTATTGAAAATAATTTGGTTTTAGTTGTTAGCTTGTTTTTGGGTTATTTTTTCGAACACTCCCCGTACTCCAAACACGTTTTATTTTGAAAAGTTGTTATATGGAAAAAAAGTTATAATTTTCAAAATTAATCGATAAAAGTCGTTGAGTAATTGTGTTTCGACATTTTAAATTGTTATGAAAAATTTATTTTGGCTAGCGCAACGTTTTGAACCCTTTTTCATGTAACCATGCCTAAGGAAAACTGATGTTCAATATATCGTGGTGAAAGTTGGCTCATCATAAATGGACAAAGAAATCACCCTCAGGACACTAATGGACAACATAGACCTTTTCTTTGGATTCGATGACTAGGATTGTCACTAAACGTAAGCCTTTATATGCCAAAAAAAACCTAAATGTGAAAGTTTTATGATGAAGGAGTAATTTGATGTAGAAGTTAAGTGGACCAAATTTGAATCAGGTGGATCCAATTCTTGGACCCTACTCCATGTAATATTTCACGTGAAAGGTAAGCCATTCAGAAAAAGATCTAATTTTGAACATTTAATGATCAAAATTGGTTATTATTGGTTTTCGTTTCATAGAAGTTTATCTCCGTCAACTGAAGTGCTCCTGGAATTTCTTGTTTTAAACATTTCCAGATCGCTTTGTTAAACGCTCCCATTTTCTTAACTTCAGAAATCAGGCCAACTAGAGCTGATTATTGTTTAATAGGAAGAAACAATTCACAAGTAAGTCAAAGATTATTTTTTATTGTTATAGTAGGTATTTATTTTACTATACTTCAAACCTACGGATACAGAGAAAATCATTCGACTATTGTCGAGTTTGTATACGGATCAATAAATACATAAAATATACACACAGTGCGTTTGCGTAAATGCAATAGTATAAATTAAAAATTATTTATTAAAAATATATTTGCAAAAGCAAGAACGCTAGAAAACCTTTCAAAGACTCGTTTTTCTTTTTATTCAGGCTGTAAATAATACCTTTTTAAAAAAATTTTTTTTTTAAAGCTCGCTGTGATTCTTCAGTTAGGTTGTAGAGTTTGGTTTGAAATTTGTCATTTCAGTTTTCGTCACTGCTATAGCGCAAATTGGGCAACAGACGAGTTATATTTTTCCACCTCTAAAAAGTCATAGGAAAAGATATACGATGCATTTACCCGCTCGTTGGAATACTTCTTTTCTTGCGATGAATTTTTTTTTATTCGCTTCGTATTTGACGATTTAAAGAATTATTTTTTATTTCAAAAGTTTTGCTCAATACGTGTCGTATAATTTGCATGAATATTTAATAAAATGCGTTTAAAAATTTAGCAAAATAGTTATGTTCTGAAGTAAGATTTATTTTCTTCATGCAATTGCATTCTGTTAGGTATTTTTTTTTTTTTTTTGTAATAAATAAAGAGCATCATGTAATGAGAGTGATAAACTTCTTTTTCTTCTGCGGATTATTAAATCAACAGGATATGATTTACCGAGTTGAGTAAGAAAGGTTCGACGTGAACTCGAAGATCCTTGTTTATATATATAAACAAAGTTGGCGTTTATATAACCTATATTTTTTGCATGTTATGACATCGGTTACGTAACTAAGATGGGGAGCGATCTTTCCCAGAATTCAATTATTATTTTTTTTTTTTTGTTTTAGTTTCTCGAATTTCGATGTGATATGTTCTGGGATTTTACCTATTTAACGAATGATTTCGAGATGATAAAGTCTAGTAGTATAGGACGTGATGGAGTACAATAACTTATGAAACAGGTGAAACGTTACAAATTACAAGAATATGCGAAGGAATAGATTCATAGGTTGGCGGTGAATATTTGTATGTTTTGATGAAAAACTTTAAAAAAAGAAAAGATTGTGGGGCAAGCCGTCAAATTGCATGAGTGCAAAATGTCCAAACCGTTGTGATTATAAAGGCCACATATAGAGAATTTGCGAATCAGGGGATGGCGAATAGGCAGCGATAAATTGTCGTAATGCATATATTGGTGGTTTGTTATTGCCATAAAACGAAATTTCATATTTTTAGTCTTTAAGTGAACGTAAGTTAGGAACAAGCTAAGAAATTGATTGGCCTTTGTCGCATTCTACTTATTCATCTGTTTACAGTTGACAACTGCCCAGCACCACTTATTTATAAAACGACGCTATTGAAACCAACTGTTGACCCAAGAGCGTACTTACTATCGAGAACCACAAACCTGCCCCAGAATAAAAAAGTTGCTAAGTTTTTGATCTTTGACAAATACTGATATAATTTTTATGTAAACACAGTATAATATGTTTATCGTATTATTTTAAAATTTAATTTCTGGTTTAATATTCATATTTTATTTCATTACATATTAAACTATTTATTATTGTTATAAAAAATAACATCATTAAAATAGTGTGTTTTATTGAAAGTGTTTCTACAGTTTGATTCGAATGTGATCAGCAAAAACAACTATTTATTTTATTTATTTTTACAATCATTTTTGAGTTTTCAAACCATGTGTTGCTTATTTAATGGCCTCTAAGCCCTGTAATATAATTGATACAAATTTAAATCTAAACATGTTAGAGAATTATAACCGGCTCTAGTCGAAGATTTATCATCAAAAAAAAAAAAACGAAAAAAAATTATTTTCAATACAGTGTAACCTATTTTTTACCGTTTTTGTACACATACTGTATGCATATATAATGATTACAGAAAATTAAGTTTCGAGCAACAGAGAGAAATATGTTATATTTTTATTTTTCCAATAGTAAATTTTCTTAAGCCCGTCATGACCAGTAAACGAAGCGGTCTGAATATAGTATTTCATATGTGGTTGGATTTTCTGCAAGTGCGT